GGGCAGAGGTCAACAACGCCATGCCCTGATGCCAGTTCTTCTGCTGGAGGCAGGTTCCTCCTCAGCAGAAAAGTCAATCAAATCCCCAGTCTCTGGAACTGGTGTCTGGGGATAGGGGTTCACTATCCGTAGAACTCAGAAGACGTTACCAGTGCTGGGCAGTTCAGTAATGTTTGGCCCTGTTGCCAGCTCTTCTGCTGGAGGCTTACCAGGTTGTTTTTCCTCAGCAGAAAAGTCTATCAAATCCCCAGTCTCTGGAATTTCCACTGCCGATTCTTGGGCATGCTGCCAAACATGTTTTAGCAGTTGCCTGTATGCCCTTTCCAGATGCAGTTCTTTCTTCAGCAGGTATTCCAGATCTGGTTCAAGCTCTGAGACCCCTGTGAGACCGAACATAGCCTCTTTTTCTTCTCACAACTCCTTCAGGGTAGGTTCTCCTTCAACACCAAACACAAAATGATCTGTAAGGCTCTCCCACAGCAATCCAGGGCCACCAAAGTCATATCCCTCAGGAGAGAATTCTGTTGTCACCCCTAAATATTACTGCTCTGAGTACCATTGCAGAGCCCGATATCTGTTGTCCAGCTCTATCTCCTGCTGGACCACCCTGTCCAACTCAGTCACCCATTGCTCCTGGGGTCGCTCTCCCAGGAATGGCATCCGTAACTTCCGATGGTCCCTGGCCCGTTCCCTTGGGGTTGGATAGCACTTGCCCTTGTCCATACCAGCAACCTGGAGGGCTCCTCTCCAAAGCACCTCCCAAATCCGCTGCCTGAGCTCCAGGTACTGATCCGTAGACACAGTCATGGGGTATGTTGCAAGAACAGTCTGCAGCAGCCCTGGGAACTCTGATGCCAGGTCCATATCTCCACTGGGGTGACCAACGTCTCCTTTCCTGATCTTGAATCCCATTGGTGGTTTGGATGTGTTCACAGCTTGTAAGCACAATCCCACTGCTTGCCACCATAACGGAACCGGACCCCGACTGCACTAAGGTATTTCCGTTAGACTCCCGCTTCCCTGTCCAAACACAGATCCACGGACACCACCGCTGACCATACAAGAGAAGACAGCACCAGACTTGGAAGGATTCCAGGAGATAGACTGCTTTAACATAGATACAAGATATATACACATTCAAGGGAACAACCCACCTCCCTGCATATGGACACAGGGCAGGGCAAACCAAATCTAGCAACCAGAGACACATCAGCAGACAACCCCATCAGGGGGAAGGGCTGCCAGAAACACCCCCCACCAAGCCAATACACATAGACACATACATCCCATAATAGTTTGTTCCCAAGCAAGACACACAATAGAACAATGGGATGCACCACATGGCAGTAAACGATGACCAACCCCCACCTATACATGTCTACACAATATCAGGACATTCCACCCTGTACCCCTAAAAGGCACAGGGTGACTTACACATAATACGGATATGGGGAGCTGAGACGGTCCCCTCACCCCCCAAAGCCACTCCCGTCACTATATATATATATATATATATATATATACACATATACAGTTGCAAGAAAAAGTATGTGAACCCCTTGGGATTACGTGGAGTTTTGCATGAATTGGGCATAAAATGTGCTCTGAACGTCATCTAAGTCACAACAATAGAAGAACACAGTCTGCTAAACATAATACTACACAAACATTAGATGTTGCCATGGTTTAATTGCACATAACATGTAAACATTCACAGTGCAGGGAGGAAAAAGTATGTGAGGCCCTAGCTTAATGACTTCTCCCAGAGCTAATTGGAGCCAGGAGTGAGCCAACCTTGACTCCAATCAGTGTGATGATATTGGATGTGTTGCTGACAGCTGTCCTGCCCTTAAAAAACGCACACCTGTTTTGGGTTTACTGGTTTCAAGAAGCACTGTCTGATGTGAACCATGCCTCGCAGAAAAGAGCTCTCAGAAGACCTACGATCAAGAATTGTTGACTTGCATGAAGCTGGAAATGGTTACAAAAGTATCTCTAAAAGCCTTGATGTTCATGTGTCCACGGTAAGACAGACTGTCTACAAATGGAGAACGTTTAGCACTGTTGCTACTCTCCCTAGGCGAGGTCGTCCTGTAAAAATGACTGCAAGAGCACAGCGCAGAATGCTGCATGAGGTAAAGAAGAATCCCAGAGTGTCAGCTAAAGACCTACAGAAATCTCTGGCACATGCTAACATTTTTGTTGACACATCTACAATAAGGAAAACATTAAACAAGAATGGAGTACATGGGAGGGACACCACGGAGGAAGCCATTGCTGTCCAAAAAGAATATTGCAGCACGTTTAAAGTTTGCAAAAGAGCACCTGGATGTTCCACAGCACTACTGGCAAAATATACTGTGGACAGATGAAACCAAGATTGAGTTGTTTGGGAAGAACACACAACACTATGTGTGGAGAAAAAAAGGCACAGCACACCAACATCAAAACCTCATCCCCACTGTAAAACATGGCGGAGGGAGCATCATGGTTTGGGGCTGCTTTGCTGCCTCAGGGCCTGGATGGACTGTTGTCATTGATGGGAAAATGAATTCCACAGTTTATCAAGACATTTTGCAGGAAAACGTACGACCATCTGTCCGCCAACTGAAGCTCCGCAGAGGATGGGTGATGCAACAGGACAATGACCCAAAGCATACAAGTAATTCAACAAAACAATGGCCGCAACAGCACAGAATACGCCTTCTGGAGTGGCCCAGTCAGAGTCCTGACCTCAACCCGATTGAAATGCTGTGGCATGACCTTAAGAGAGCGATTCACACCAGACATCCCAAGAATATTGCTACACTGAAACAGTTTTGTGAAGAGGAGTGGTCCAAAATTACTCCAGATCGTTGTGCAGGTCTGATCTGCAACTACAGGAAATGTTTGTTTGAGGTTATTGCTGCCAAAGGAGGGTCAACCAGTTATTAAGCCCAAAGGTTCACATACTTTTTCCTCCCTGCACTGTGAATGTTTACATGTTATGTCCAATTAAACCATGGCAACATCTAATGTTTGTGTAGTATTATGTTCAGCAGACTGTGTTCTTCTATTGTTGTGACTTAGATGACATTCAGAGCACATTTTATGCCCAATTCATGCAAAACGCCACGTAATCCCAAGGGGTTCACATACTTTTTCTTGCAACTGTACATGCACACATACACTCAGTTAGGTCCATATGTAATTGGACACAGGCACAATTTTAGTTTTCTGCAGGTATTTACCAAAACATATTCAAGCTATAGTTATATAATGGATATGGGCTGAAAGTGCACACTCTCCGGTTTAATTTGAGGGTATGTACATCCAAATTGGGGGAAGGATTTAGGAATTACAGCTCTTAAGAGTAGCCATCCCCCCTTTTTCAAGGGGCCAAAAGTAATTAGACAATTGAATATAATCATAAATAAAATGTTCATTTTTAATATTTTGTTAAGAATCATTTACTGGCAATGACTGCTTGAAGTCTGGAACCCATGGACATTACTAAAGATTGGGTTTCCTCCTTTCTGATGCTTTGCCAGGCTCTAACGGCAGCTGTCTTCAGTTGTTCTTTGTGGGTCTTTCTGCCTTTAGTTTTGCTTTCAGCAAGTGAAATGAATGCTCAATTGGGTTGAGATCAGGTGATTGACTCGGCCAATGCAGAATATTCCACTTCTTTTCCTGGGTTGCTTTTGCAATGTGTTTTGGATCATTGTCCATCTGTACTGTGAAGCGCCGTCCAATCAACTTTGCTACATTTGGCTGAATCTGGGCTGACAGTATATTTCCAAACACTGCAGAATTCATCCAGCTGTTTCTGTCTTCTGTCACATCACCAATAAACACCAATGACCCAGTTCCACTGGAAGCTATGCATGCTCATACCATCACACTACCTACTACAGATGACGTGTGCTTTGGATCATGAGCGGTTTCAAGTTCTCACCAATCTTTTTTCGTCCCGTCATTCTGGTACAGATTAATCTTAGTTTCATCCATCCAAAGAATGCTTTTCCTGAACTGGTCTGGCTTTTTTAGATGATTTAGTCTAATCTGGCTTTTCTGTTCTTCAGGCTTATGAATGGTTTGCACCTTGTGGTGAACCCTCTGTATTTGCTCTCGTGAAGTCTCCTCTTGATTGTAGACTTTGACAATGATACGCCCACCTCCTGGAGAGTGTCCTTCACTTGTATGGCTGTTGTGAATGGGTTTCTCTTTACCATAGAGAGGATCCTGTGATCATCCACCACTGTTGTCTTCCGTGGACGTCCATACCTTTTCATGTTGCTGAGATCACCAATGCGTTCTTTCCTCAGAATGTACCAAACTGTTGATTTGGCCACTCCTAATGTTCCTGCTATCTCTCTGGATTTGTTTTGTTTTTGAAGCCTTACAATGGCCTGTTTCACTTGCATGGACAGCTCCTTTGAATGCATGATGTACAGTTGTGTTCAAAATAATAGCAGTCAGACATCACTAACCTGATCAATCACTGTTTTTGGTATAAATTATATTTCTACATGGCAAATAATTTACTAGCAGGTGTAGTAGAGTAATAGATATCCAACAGACCCAACAGTCATGACATGCATGCTGCTGATTGTGTGTAATTGAATCACTAATTGAAAGGGGCATGTTCAAAATAATAGCAGTGTGGAGTTCTATTAGTGAGGTCATTCATTCTTTGAGAAACAGGTGGCAATTATTGCCCTTATTTAAGGAAGGAAGGCAGCAAATGTTGTACATGCTGGTTACAGTGCATTTCTCTCTGAAATTCTGAGGAAAATGGGTCGTTCCAGACATTGTTCAGAAGAACAGCGTACCTTGATTAAAAAGTTGATTGGAGAGGGGAAAACATAAAGAAGTGCAGAAAATGATAGGCTGCTCAGCTAAAATGATCACAAATGCTTTAAAATGGCAACCGAAACCTGAAAAACGTGGAAGAAAGCAAAAAACTACCATTCAAATGGATAGAAGAATAGCCAAAATGGCAAGGACTCAGCCAACAATCAGCTGAAGAGGTTACAATTTACCAATGAGCACATTGACTGGCCTAAAGAGAAATGGCGCAACATTTTGTGGACTGATAAAGTAAGATTGTTCTTTTTGGGTCTAGTGGCCGGAGACAGTTTGTCAGACGACCCCCAAACTTTGAATTCAAGCCACAGTACACTGTGAAGACAGTGAAGCATCATGATATGGGGATGTTTCTCATACTACGGTGTTGGGCCTATTTATCGCATACCAGGGATCATGGATCAGTTTGAATACATCAGAATACTTGAAGAGGTCATGCTGCCTTATGCTGAAGAGGAAATGCCCTTGAAATGGGTGTTCCAACAAGACAACGACCCCAAACACAACAATAAATGTGCAACATCTTGGTTCCAGACCAACAAGATTGATGTTATGGAGTGGCCAGCCCAATCCCCGGATCTTGATCCAATAAAAAAACTTGTGGGGCAACATCAAAAATGCAGTTTCTGAGGCAAAACCAAGAAATAGAGAAGAACTGTGGAATGTAGTTCAATCATCCTGGGCTGGAATGCCTGTTCACAGGTGCCAGAAGTTGGTTGACTCTGTGCAACACAGATGTACAGCAGTTCTCAGAAACAGTGCTTATACAACTAAATATTACTTAAGTGATTCAAAGGAAAGCAAAATCTTCAAACATTTTTCAGTTTATATAGTGAATGTTTGAGTTTGTAAAGAAGAATACAAACACTGCTATTTTTTTGAACAGTCTAATATTCACTTTTCTTCAATTTTTTTTAGAGGAACAACACAAATTTGATATATTTTTCTTCATGTTTTGATTTGGAATAGAATGTGTAGTGTTCCCAATGCATTTGTGTGTATGGAAATAAAAGCTATTAGAAGGATTTTGAGCTTTATTCACTTTTTTCAACACACTGCTATTATTTTGAACACAACTGTGTGTGTGTGTGTATAGATAGATAGATAGATAGATAGATAGATAGATAGATAGATCTATATATATTTTATTTATTTTTATTATTCCATACATTAGATTTTCTGAATTGCCAAAAGTAATTTAAAAGAAAACCTGTCATGACAGAATTATAGTAAAAGGGTTTGGAAGGGGGTGGCGCTGGATCAAAGCAACTTCTTAAGTCTTGGAAATGTGGAGAACTGTAGGTTTAGTATTGTCATGTTGACTGTCATATGCCTTTAATTGCTTCTATATTTTGTTTCTGCTTCTCCCTTTCCTTTGGTTTAGTTAATGCTGTATAGATAGCCCTCCCCTTTCCCAGAAATGCATTGCAGTTCTAGCCTCATGTCATGAAGTAGATCACATTATGATCTTTTGACCAATCGAATGTTCATTGTAAGATTCTCTCAGTTTATGGAAAAAACTTCACAAGATTTACAAGATGTCTTATCGATTGAGTCACTGACTGTGGTATCCAACTGAGGTTGAAGTTATTGTTATCTCATCACAACTGTAAGTTACAGAGATCACACTATCAATACTTAGATTGGAGAGACAGAACAGTCAAAAGATCAGTGGAATGCTTCATAGGATCCTGGCTAGTGAAAAGATCTGTGGAATGCTTCATAGGATCCTGCCTAGTCAAAAGATCTGTGGAATGCTTCATAGGATCCTGGCTAGTCAAATGATCAGTGAAATGTCTTTATAAGAATCCTTGCTAGCTAGAATACACCGTGAGATGTTATATGGATACTGGATATAACAGCTATAAAGAATGCAGCCACCTCTACACAAGTCTGTACATGTCTCCAAGTATATCCCAGCATAGCACTCATCAGTGTCAGGACAAATTATTGATGTGAATGTTTTACAACTGCAAAATTATTCACTGCATCTGTATGTATTACCACATGGCTTGTCTGTGAATTTATAAGAAAGAAAAAGAAAACCTTTCTGCAATCATTGCCTAGGAAACCTGATCTGACCCACAGAAAAAGTGATACATTTCTCTGTAAACTTTCTATCAACCCCTCTCCTTGCTTACATGATGTTTCAGGAAAGTAATATACAGTCTGGGGAAACCAATACACAACCACAATCAGAGCTTCATCCAGAGCAGGACATAGATAAAAGAGAAAAAACGCCTAAGTTATCCAACCTAGAAAGTGCAAGAAAATCTTAATGCTGACAAGTTAGAATTGCTGTCTAATATTAATGACTTATGGTCTAATACTGTTAAATGCATGTCTGCTCTCTCCCAACAATCTCATGAGCCAATACAACTAGAGGGCGCTATCCAGCAATTGAATATTGCTTATGAGAATTATCAAAGACTGTGTGTTAAATATATTGCTCTGTTAAAGCGCTACAACACTCATAGGTCATTGGAAGAATTAATGAGTTATGAGGAGCTTAATCTTGAAAGAGACAATTTAGCGGTGCGAACAAAGACAAAGGCAGAAGTGAGAATAACACAGCTCCATGAATCCAGATCTTATTGCTCTGCATCTACTAGACGCTCCTCAAGATCTTCCAAATCCATACAATCAAGGTCTTCTACACTCAGTCAACAACTAATTGATGATGCTGAAGCTTCTAAAATTCAGGCAGCTTTCGCCCTAAGGAAAGCAGAAATGGAGGCTAAGGCGCACATAAAAAAGCAGAAATTCAGGCAGCTTTCGCCCTAAGGAAAGCAGAAATGGAGGCTCAGGCCGCAGAAATGGAGGCTCAGACGCACATAAGAAAGCAGAAATGGAGGCTCAGGCCGCACATAAGAAAGCAGAAATGGAGGCTCAGGCCGCACATCAGAAAGCAGAGAAAGAAGCTGAAGCCACACGCCAAAAGGCAGAAATTGAAGTTTTGGAAAAACAATGTGAGCATGCCACAGCCATGGCAAGGTTAAGAGTCTTAAAACAAGCCGCTAGTGAAAACGAAAGAGACAACAGTTCCAGACACTCAGTTGTATCTTATGTCTCGGATTCTTCACACACCTCTCCAGAACGTCAACTCCCTGTCACAGCAGCCAAACTACTTCATCAAAGTCTCTTCTCTGCACCTACTATACCTCAAGACCATTTGCCCTTATATCCTCCAGTACATCAGACTGCAGCATCTCAGCTAGCCGCAGACACTGGTGTCTACAAACCAACAAGCCAATGGACTTTAAGCCAGCTCCGGCATTGAATGCCTGCCTTAGCAGCAACATATGTTCCCAAATCACTCCACGTAAGTCCACCAACCGTCACAACCAACTCTGTTCCACCTGCAGTCATGCACCCAAAATATGAAAACACGGACATGTAACAGTTTGCTAAATACATGCTCCGCAGAGAGCTTGTTAAGACAGGCCTCACCAAGTTTCATGACAAGCCTGAAAATTACAGAGGTTGGAAATCCACTTTTAAGACCACGAGTGACCTAGACATCAATGCCACAGAGGAATTTGATCTACTCATCAGATGGTTTGGTCCACAGTCTACTGAACGCATCAAGAGGCTCAAAGCAGTTCATATTGACATTGACACCCTGCTGCAGGCCTTAATGTTGCTTGGGACAGACTTGAACATACCTTTGGCAGCCCAGAGGCCATTGAAGATGCTTTATTCAAAAGGTTGCAAAGCTTCCCAAGGATTTCTGCTAGCGACAATCTAAAGTTTCAAGAACTCAGTGATGTTCTATTAGAGCTTCAACTTGCTAAGGCTGACATCAACTTACCTGGTCTCAGTTACCTTGACACCTCTCATGGCATCAAATCTATTGTTCTCAAGCTACCATATGGAATTCAAGAAAGATGGGCAGCGCTTGGATCAAAGTATAAGGAAGAACATAGAGTTGCCTTTCCTCCTTTTTCCTACTTCTGCGAGTTCATCAAAAGAATTGCAGACACTAAGAATGACCCAGGTTTCTCATATGGGGCCTGTAACCCTCTCAGTACACACTCTCCAAGACCTATGAACACACGTATGTCGCACAGAGACCGTCCAGTGTTAGTGAAAAGGACTAATGTTCTACCTGCACCTGCTACAGTTCTTGAAAAGACTGATCAAAACAAGAGAATTGAGGACCCAAATCGCCAGTGTCCAATACATAAACTACATCTACTTCAGAAATGTATCAGCTTCAGAAAGAAAACCCTCCAAGAACATAAGGAACTTTTGAAGAAATTTGGGGTTTGCTAAAAATGCTGTTCCTCCACAGAACACTCTGCAAAGGACTGTAAAGCAATCATCAAGTGTATAGAGTGTGACAGTGATGACCATGTGCAAGCTCTTCATCAATGTTCGCACAACTCTATTATGCTCACAAACAATCATCCTGAGGCAAAGCAAGGCGGGGAGCGCCCAGATCAAGCAGCACCTACCACCCCAGTGTTCTCTACATGTACAGAGGTCTGTGGAGAAGGATTCTGCGACAAATCCTGTGCAAAGATATGCTTGGTCTGTGTATACCCCAAAGGTCAACCTGAAAAGGCCATAAAAATCAATAAAATGGTAAATGAGCGCTAGAAATGTGAAAATAGCAGCTGGCATAAAATGGTTAAACCTCCAGCCCTCATAAACAGTAATATCCAACAATGCAATGCGTCTAAAAGTGCAAAATGGCATATCAGTGACATAAAAATCTTCAAAGAGGTGCAGATCCGTGCATCAGGTGCATGTGGGAAAGAGAGTAAGTTGCACTAACCAGACAGTGAAAATTATAATGCTTTTGAGTAATCAAGACCACTCCTGGTCATCATCATCCTGGAATATACGGAACACATCTGGCAACAGGTCTGCACACAGCCTCTCCTTCACTGACACCCTCCGGATCACAGGGAAGATTCCACTTCACTCTTACGCACCCAATGGTAAGCACTTAAAAGGGATCCACCTTAGTGGCTCAAAATAAATGAGCCAGAGAAGAAAGTGCTAAATAGTGCAGTAAGTTTATTGAATCAGCAGAAAAACCATACATTTGAACAAAGTGAACTCACATCTGGACCATAGGAATGCAGCTATGGTGTACAGAAATGCAAACACAAATCCAAGATGGCCGCCGGCCTCTCTCATGGCTCAGGCAGTCTAGTATCACTGGCGTAGGCTCCTCTCTAACGCATTTCGTGCACTTGCACATTATCAAAGGGACCTGCCAATTGCCAGTGAAGAGGTGTGTATATATAGCGATGTTCGCGCATGCGCAGAACCGCGGTGTGACGCCATCTTGGTTTCTGCGCATGCGCGGTATACAACCCGGCGGCCATTTTATTGAAGCCGCATACAGAGTGTCCAGCAGAGCAGATGGGGGATCAGGCAGTTCCACACATCTTAAACAGAGAGTGGTACAATCATTACCACTTCTCTAGCAAAGGTCTGGGTAATGTATTACTGCCAAGATAACTTTTATGAGGAGAAATGGCTAATTATAATCCAGGATAGGGGGCAGAAAGAACCAATCCTCCATTTTCCTGTGGACCACAAACAATTACAGGGATCCATAATACTGTAGACCACAGGCATCTGATCCCTATGACCAAAAATCGTCAGTATGGACAGTACACGATAAATAAGATCCAAGTAAAGATATATAGCTGCTGATGAAAAAGGAAAAGCCTCATCCCCCATATAATGCTCTATAAAACAAATATATTAATAACATCCAATTAAATGTATCAACATAAACCATATTAATAAAAAGTAAAGGACACATGACCAGAACTATTTTACATAAGAAATCGATCATGTAAAATAATAGTTTATAATGATAAATTATACTAAAATATAAAATCGTCCTTCCATGGAGGTAAAAAAAAAACAGACAATAAATAGTTATATATAAAATGAGAAATGTAAGAGACATGACCTATTTTAACCTCCCTAGCGGTCTGATTATTTCAGATTTTTGGTGCTGAAAGCGGTACCATTATTTTGCATGGAAATATGTAGTTTTTTTTTATTGTAGGCTGTAATTTTTAGGAATAACTCACTGAAATC